GAGGACACAAAGGAGCCCGGGGACGAAGAGGACAGAAAGGAAGGACTGGATACAAGGGAGATCAAGGTATTATGGGATCGCCAGGAAAGAGCGGCAAGCAAGGCGTTATGGGACCTGTTGGACTACAGGGAGAGACTGGAAACAAAGGCGAGAAAGGAGACATGGGACCTGCAGGTATGCCGGGAACTAAAGGCGATCCCGGTGAATCGATATCATCTCCTGCTGTTGTTGTTTCTCCTGTGACGTTGACAGTGAACGAAGGTGGAACAGACTCGTTTCAGTGTTCAGCCAGCGGTAATCCTGAGCCTGCAGTAGCGTGGAGTAAACTAAACAATCAGTGACAAATCACTCGGTCAGCGGTTTCAGGAGGAAAGCTGGAGTTGAAGAAGGTGACCGGAAGTGACTCAGGCGTATATCAGTGTTCAGCAACAAACATCCTGGGGAATTCTAAGGAAGTGGTGCGACTTGCAGTAAATGGTGAGTGTCTGATTATTATACTAAAATAAGCTTTACACAATGCAGTTTTTATAGATCAAATTTGTCATTTTGGAGTACGAAAAGTTCGCTTTTCAGTTTGAAAAACAGAAACACCCGCTCTGTTTCTATACACTTCGCCAGTTAAATTAACGCTAATGTAGGGTGGGCGTTTCCTTGGAGAAAGCTACAGGTTTAAGCTCCTCTAAAACTACAATTACCATTTAGGTCTATTTTTGCATTTCCTGACCTGTTGAAGCCATTTTATAGTATGGTGAACTGAAAAAGTTACCGTAAAAGGCAGCAATCATGACAAGGGTTCGAAGGATAATGTTTCTTTCTAGCCGAGTAGCGTCCTGCCATGCTCCCTAGGTTGTATTTTTGGGGAATGCATGGTGGTGCTGCACTCTCAGTTATCATTCATTCATTCATTCTGTCTAATTTGCCTTTTTACTTAATGTACAGTATATACCTCTTACTAACCGAGTTCGAGGCCCGTACTGTAAGTTACAGACCGAGTTTAACTAAAAACTCTAGCAGTTTTTTCTTAAAATTGGGAAAACTTGACAATGAAGTGATTGTAACAGGGAAGGAATTACGGATCTTTGGACCTTGGTAAAGAATTGAGAATTTTTTAGATTAGTCTGGTAATGATGCACGCGATAATTATTGGCCGTTCTGGTGCTATAGCCATGAATTTGCAATTTGCTATATCCATTAAAATTTAAGCAACTTTTCGGCTGTCAATTAAAACTCGAGGTTTTAATTTTTTCATCTATCAGTTGATCTCGGCAAATTTCAGTTAAGATTCATCTCTCACCTGCTTTTGTTGTATTCATTATCTTAGCAAAGATGTCCATCTCATTAGCCGATCAGGGTCAAGTAGTATCCGATTATTTCTCAGAACTTATGAGTGACTTCGAACTGCTTGGAAGCTTAACGAACACTTTTTAACACTTTCCGAAAACCTAAAGCTACCTGGGCCCGTTGATTTGTTCGTTTGTCCGTGATTCTAAGTAGGCTTTTTGTGCCCCCACCCTCCCCCGTCTTCTCCCCTTTGTATATTCAAGACCATTCACTAAAACAAATAGTCAAAATTTTTTGGCATATAATGATAATCACGTGTCAAAAATTCCTTGTTCTCTGCGAGAAAATAAACTCCAGATAACATTAACTACATTATAGCCATATACGGTACCAACCTGATACACTTCTTTCCAGGCGGAAAAGCCAATCATCTCAGCTGACGGTTATCTAAACGTTACTCAGCTACCAGTTAAAAATATCTGCCGATTCTCGGCTGAAAGTTAACCCTACAGTCCCTTAATTTCAGATGTTTCCCCTGAAAAAAAGAAAATAAAATCAAGAAATCTAAATTAAACTAGGCTTAATGATATTTACTTGGTTGCAGTTCATCCTCAAGTTTCTCTTCAGTTGGGACCTAAGTTCGTCACCGTAGGAAGTGACGTCACTCTACCAAACTGTCAGGTAATTGGATACCCAGCACCAGTGGTGACCTGGAGGAAGTCGATTGGTCAGTTACCCCAGGGGAGGGCACACTATAACAACAATGTCTTACAAATTTCCGATGTCCGTAAAAGTGACTCTGACTGGTACTTCTGTTCAGCGGTCAACCTTTTAGGAAATGTTGAAAAGAAAACTCAACTAGTTGTGATTTCCCTTCCTGTGTTTACCGTTAAGCCACCTGAAAAGGTATTTGCTACTACTGGCGACACTTTGACGTTAAACTGCAGCGCTACTGGTGATCCACGACCAGTCATCAGCTGGAAAAGACAAGGAGCAGCACTGCCCGTGGGAAGGAGTCACAGGACAAATGATGCACTTATCATAAGAGATTTAAAAGAAGAGGATGCTGGGATCTATATTTGTGTGGCTAAAAGTGCAGGAGTGTTTGATAGCGAAGCAATAAGTTATGTTGAAGTTAAAAAACCGAGGGGTAAGTGATTTGTGGAATGATTACTTATGCGTACAAAGGAAATTGGCAAGAATGAATAGACCAATTTCGATATATTAAAATTCAGCCTAAAACAATAGACCTCAGTACGAGACTCTGGGGAATAACTACAGAGACTGTGAGGTTTAGGTCATGAGTTCTGCTGATGTTGAACCAGTTCGTATCGGGAAACAAAAGCTATGGCGGAAGATAATTTTTGCGGAGCCCCATAGCAGAATAGGAAAGAAAAGAAAACCCATGATTTTACGATGACGGCAGAAATTCTCGCGCGTTCATTGACTAATTTTCACTGTCAATAAGCAGACAGACACATGATTTTATAATTTATTCGATGCGTCAAGGACGAGAGCTGACAATTCGTAATAAACAAATTTACATCAGTTTTTCGTGCGTCTGTCCTGTTGTTGACAATGAATTTCATTATAACATTATCAAAGTATTCTGCAGATCCACTCGGCTATCCACAGCTATAGTTTGACAATGTTATGACGAAATTCATGATCAATAACAAGACAGACGCATGAAAAACTGATTTTAATTTGTTAAACTGATTTTCTCGTGGTTATCACGGCTAGCGGTATTGCTCGTGGGCACGTACGGTCAACGGCGATGACGACGACGGAGTCTCGTGAGATGGCGACCATACTCCGCCTAACAGGTTGACAGAGACATGCACCCTTAATTTAAAGCGTCCTTCTTAGATATTGGACATCCATGTTATGGTCAATTGACACCTGTCAAAACAAGGTATTCTCTGACCAGTATCACGTGACCATATCGCGGGCTCAAGTTTAGAGCTTTTCCAGGTCACGTTTTCTTTGAAGTTGACTGCTGACCAAGGGCAGGTTTTCGATTGCATCAAGGGGTCCTGTCAGGTTAACTTGTTGAAAACAGGACTGGGTTGCTCGGAAGCCGGTTAACGCTAAACCTGGGCTAAGTTGCTTAAAGCCCGATCACGAGCTAACTCAGGATTAGCGAAAATTTTGATTTAAATTTTGTAAGTTTTCGGTGAAGTTTTCTGCTTATATTATTTGTTCTTCAATTTTAAATTTAACTTATCTCAAACTACACGAAACACAGGCAGTGACCAACATTTTTTTTACCAAAAAAAAAGAACAAAAAAAAAAAAAAGAGTACTTGGGTTACCTTTTAATCCTGGGTTAGCGTTGACCGGCTTTTGAACAACTTGGCCCAGGACTGTAAAAGTTAACCGGAGTATAAATAAACAGGGGCAAAAATCTGACCAAAAATACTAGAGTCAAACGCGCTAGAATAGTATTTTGAGGCTTAGCATAGATTTGCACTCGTTTTTACAGCCAGTTCTCCCAAACTTATCAAATGTGGTAAGTACTAATAAAATAGTGTTTCCCAATCATCTCTGTTAAAATCATTGTTTATAGTCCTGATTAAAAAAAAAATGCCCATACACGAACAAATTATTTGTGATTTACTCACTGCCAGTTTAAAAACGCTGACGTTTTCCTTTCAGCGTGCGTAGATTTACAGAACTTTCGTCCTCAGAATTGTCAGGGTGCGCCCGGTGCTAAAACTAAATGAAGCCACCGTAAATCCCTTCAGCTAGAGAGAAACACGAGAGGGTAATACGAGACCCATACAGTCACGCAGTTTTTGTCATCCATGTCCAACATACCTGCATCGACTTGTGTCGTCTACAAGCACTGACGACTCGATTTAGCAGAAATCTAGTCGCAAATCTTACCGGAAGTGGAAATCTAAAGTTGAAACGCTTACCGGAACTAAAACTAATGGAAAACTTCGCATGAATATGATACACAAAAACGGGCGTGCAAACCCAGGCATGATACAAGCCATATTATATACTACTCATTCTATAAACGTGTGCAGAGAGATGGTACATTTTTGGCGAAACGCGAATATTGGGTCTTATTCTTTAGACCCACGCCAGAAACGAGAAAACTTCGCATGAATATAATGTAAAGCACGAAAACCGGCGTGCAAACCCAGGCATGATACAAGCCATACTATGTAGTTAACTTAATTCTCATGGCGTCTATACTTAAATTGAAAAGGCAATTTAAAGCATGTGAATTTCTTTTATCAGATTGTTCTGATCTGCATAAATCAGGCCATACTCAAAGTGGATTGTACTCTGTCAACCCAGACGGTAGAGGACATTTTACTGTCTACTGTGACATGCGCACTGACGGTGGAGGCTGGACCGTCTTTCAAAGAAGACAAGATGGCTCGGTAGACTTCTATCGGGGATGGAACGACTACAAAGCAGGCTTTGGCCAGCTGGCTGTTGAGTTCTGGTTGGGAAACGACAAGATCCATCGACTGACGGC